CCCCGCGCCGAGCCTGCTGGCCGCGGGCCTGGCCTGGCTGGGCAGCCTGGCCTGCGCGGCAGCGGCTGCCATGGCCTGCGCGCGGCGGCGAGGCCCCTCTGCAGTCCGGCCCGCCCCGCCAGTGGCTCGGCCCGCTGGGCCAGCAGTTACTGTACTTTTGTTCGTTCCTTACTTTGCGATGAATCCATTCGCTCCTCGCCCGCCAATGTTTGGCCAGCAGTATCAGCAGCAGTCCAGCTACGGATGCCGTCCACAAGGGCCCTTCCAGTTCCCAATGGCTTCCGGCACATCTGCACCTACGCCACGGCCTGCGCCGATGCGTGTGTACGAAGGGCAAGTCGTGGATATGAGAACGCACAACCAGGACGAACATGGTAGATTCCTACCTCTTCATGCGGACAACGTTGATCGATTCGAAGTTGTGAGCGTGGCCACGAACCTCCCCGGCCTCGGGGACATGATGAAAAAGGAGCGCGCCGTACTTGTTTTTCTTCGTGCACACGAGGAATGGGACGTCAGTGTCCGTCGTGCTCAGGAGATCTCCGGCCTCATTCCAATGTCGTGCAGTGAGGAGACGTGGAATAACTATGTCGTCGGAGTTCGTTCGGTGCTCGAAACCTTGCAGATCCCCCAGGCAGAGTCCGTGAGTGATTGCTTGGAAAGGAAGCGTTGCGATGAATCCTTTCGCCAGAATCGTTCCCGCCCTCGTGATCATGACTTCCACCGGGAGCCTCGCGCGGAGCGTTCCTTGTTCACTGACTTCCAGGGAGCCGAGATGGATCAGGACACCGGTGCGAGGACGCCTCTGCTTGATCCCCGGGAATCCATGGGTTGCTCTGTCAGGCACAATGATGAGAACGGCGCTGCGATTGGTGTAGAGCAGCTTCCTGGTGAAGGCAATTACCAGGTGAAGATCCACTGGGCCAACAACGGCAGCATGTCCAACCATCCGTGGGATTCTGTCGTGAGCGACATGGAGGTTCGCAGGGTTCCTGTCCACGAGATGTCCATTCCAAATCCCCGGCCGAGGCGTCGCCCGAGGCAGGCTGATGCAGCATCGGCTTCTTCTGAGTGGGCTAGGATTGTGGAGCAACAGAACCAGCCGCGCTGATCCGTAGGTAACGTGTTCCATATTTCACCCGCCACGTGGCAAACTAGCATGCACGCGCGCGATTACATAACACCTGTGTTTTCCAAGCTTGGCATGAATGTTGACACGTGCATGTGCTTCTCCTCCTCCTCTTCTCCTTGCTTCTGCCAGCGCATCAACGTGAGGGATTGGACAGAGATGGAAGATAAGTATGCTTTGCCACACGTGCGTCGTGCGCGACGTTTGCTTGAATGCGAATCGTGGGATCGACGTCTGGCTGTTGACAGCGCCCGTTCTGTAGGCGTCATCATAAACAAATGTCGCTTCGAATGTTCCTTGCCGGTACGTTCGAGTGAAGGCTTGGAGACAGGTTACCGGTCTCTTGCGCTGTCTCAAAGCCCATTTGCATGGGTTGCGTTTCTCTTCATGTCAGAAGGCCACTGTACTTGCTAAGTCGGAGATGAGCACTATGTTGGACATTCTTAACTTTCTGCACTCCATCTACCATCCGCCTGCTTGGTCTCTCTTCCTTTCGCCACCATCAGAAAGTTTACTCTGCCATTGTTCGCTCTGCGTCTGCTGTGTATTGCGATCGTGTCTCTCCTTCGTTCACCCCCCATGTTGCGTGCGCCCGGTTGTCCGCGGATACAATTTTATGTATGTCGGCAAGACGAATCGGGGGATGGACGCGCGCATGCGCGAGCATTTGGGTAATCTGCTCAGCGACAGGCCTCGTTCTCAAATCCCTGCTTATTACAAAATGAGGTCGTTGGATGTTGCTAGTTTTGTGTGCATCCCTCTCGTTTGTTTGTCGTCGTCGTCGGATTTTGAGTTGCGCGTGCTTGAAAAACGGTTCATTCATGCCCTTCGTCCTCAATTGGCTGTTCCGTTTGTGAGAAAGCACGTCCGTGCGCCATGGGGGAAGTCTGGCGACTGCAGCGTGGTGGTGAATCCTACTAAGTCCGGTTCTCGTCCTCGTTCGTGCCGTTTTTCCAACCCTCGTTTTTTTTCTTGAGTACGTTTCAGGTTGATTGCAGGTCCATGTGTTGTTACACCACGCAGCGATCTTTCCTTGTCTGCCTTGGTTCTCAGATTGGGCGATATGCGACGGAACGCTAATAGCAGCAGTCATGTTGTTAAATGGCTGCGCGATAACAAACCCATCGTCGTGCCCCGGTCGTTGCAACGTCTGCCAAAGACGTTGTCCGGATCAAGCCTTGCCGTGGCTCGCCAGAGAGTGTTCCAGATTATTGACCGCAAGAGTTCTCGTTCTTTTGTTTCTTGTTCTCTGCTTCTTCCTTCTCTGCTGGATTTCCCCATTCGTCCTGCTCTTGCTTCTGCCATCCGTTCTCAATTGTCCGTTCAACTTCCGCACGGTACGTCTGTGCACTTGTTGTTCAAGCGATTGAAGGCGCCATCCCCGAAGAGTTTGCTTGTGAGTTCAAAGGTTTGGTCTAAATCACTTGATACTTGTGAGTTCCCATGCACATGTGATGCCCTCTGTGATGAATTGTCTGTGGGCCGTTCCCAGAACGGACACGTTTGTTGCCCGTTGCAGAACACGGCAATTTCATCCAGCATTCCGGCTGGTTTCCATTCTGAGGGGGCTTGCGTTTGGAGTTTTGCTCAATTTCGCGATAGTTTGTTGCGTGCGGTTGACACTCTGCGCACGAAATGCGCACATGTTGTTCCGGATGTTTGCGTTGACTTGTCTGATGCTTGCGAGGAAATCGGGGTTGTGTTTGCTCGAGCTGATGCCTTCAGAGGGTACGGCGTTTTACAATCTGATGTGGTGGAGTGGAGTCGTCGTCTTCGTCGTATTGCTGTCGTCTCCCCCGTTGACAAAATCCCATCTGCTCTTGCCATCTCTTGCCCTCGTTCTTGGCAGTTCCGTGCTCGTGAGGTTTTCCTTGGTAAAGGCAACGTGTGTCGCTCTTTCCCTGGCTGGAATTCCATCCACAATGCTTTCTCGGAGTTACAGTCTATGGTGTCGTACACAGGCCTTCTTCCACGTGATGTCACTCATCGCCAGTTCGGTGGAGTCGATCTGTGGCCGAAAGCATCCAGCTTGCACCTCAAAGTCCGACCTCTGGGGTCTTACGCTAAGCATTGCATGCGTTCGTACTTCTCGCTTGCTTGCCGTGCTCTGAATTTCATGACCACCAATCTGTGCCCGGAGTCTATATCTGTGATTGCTGCGGAGAAGGTTGTGAGCAAATTTCGCAGCTTTAGTGTTGATTGCGTTGACAAGTGTTCTCGTGGCTTCACTCCCATTTACGTGCCATTCAAGCGGGACATCGATAATTTCTTCAATAATGTTCCGCGCAACCTCATCAGTAAAGCCTTGTCCTGGGTGGTTGCTCGTTGGTATGAAGTCCATGGCTCTCGTCGTCGTTTCATCCGTCTCCCTCGGCTCTATAGGTACGCCCCTCGGTATCGCGAGCCCCCACATTGTTTCACTCGCGCCTTCAAGGGTCACGTCCGTAATTTGGCACGAGCTAACATGCCTAAACCGTCGCCTCACAATTGCCGTGTCGTCTCTGCTGACGATTATGTTCTGCGCGTGGATGACATTGTTCCCATTGTGAACGCTGATTTAGACAGTGGGTTCTTACACTTCGGGAAGGGACTGTTTGTGCCGACTGTGGGGATGACACAGGGTAGCAAGTTGTCCCCTGGCGTGTGCAATATGGCGTGTTTTTTTCTGGAGTTCGAACGTATGCGATTGCCACCCCGCGTTCCTTGCGATGGTATCCTGATTGCCCGGTGGGTTGATGACATATTCGGCGTGCTATGTTTCTGGCATCAGGCGCACCAGTCTGCACCGGATGTCCGGGCTCTGAGTGACCAATTAATTGGAAGCCTTATGGGGATTTATAGCCAAGCGGTCCATAGCCGGATCCGTAAGAAACGCGCACATGAGTGCTTGAAACTGAAGGTCGAGGATCCTGCTGTCTTTGTTGGGTTCAATGTTGGCACTGCTCCTCATGTGTCTTTGTCCCCCCACAGCAAGAACGGTGATCTGTTTCATGCTGCTGTCGTGTGTGCTCCGTTCCCTCGGTTCCAGTCGTGGCGCAGCAATAGGCCCCTCTCGGAAAAAGTGGGTTCCGTGCAAGGCTTGCTTGTACAGTGCGTTGATCGTTGCTTGAACGTTGATCCCGTTCCACACGTTGCGAGCCTCATGCTTGAGCTAAAGTGTCTCGAGTATCCTTGGGAGGCTCTCCGGCGTGCGGTTGACAGAGTTTGTTCTAAGCATCCGTACTTGTCCTGCATCCGGGTTGCGTTGACAGCTGCTCAAGAGAAATGGACACGCTGCAATAACCCACGTGCGGATTAAGCATCCGCTTGAGGGCTCCGTGTGTGTTCGCGTGTGTGGTGGCGTACTGCTCTCCATGCTCCCGTCTATCCTTCAAGTTTTGCGCTGCTTGCTCTTTCCTCCCCTTTCCTCCTTGTTTGCTTTTATTGTATGATTGTGTGCTTCGTGCTCGGATTCATAATTTTGTACATTCACATTCCGTCTGGCCGTAATGCTAGCCGGGCCCTGCGGATGATTCTTGCTTGAACCTCCGGCCGCGTTCGTGAAGCCATGGCAAGTTGATTGCTGCGGCGTGGCTCCCATTCCCACGTGCATGTATATACTAGCGAAAGTAAGTCGAGCCGAATTCACGCATGTAATTAATATGTTTGTGTACTTTGCTTTCTGTGTGTGTCGTGCATGCGCATTCGCACTGTTGTCATCTGCTCAGGCTACAGCTCGATGAAGTAGTCATCTCATCAACAGCGCTGGCAGGCGGCGGCCCCGCCACCCTGCATGAGGTCGCAGCGGCGCAGGTGGCGGCCCTGCGGGCGGCCACGCTGCAGCTGACGCAGTAGAATGGCCGTCGCCCCAGCAGCCCGCTTTCTGGCACAGGTGGGGCTGCAAGAGGGCGTCTTCTTTCTCGACGAGTACGCCGGGTTCCAGGATGCGCGCCGCGAGCGGCTGGTCATCCTAGCGCCGGACGGCGCGAACCAGGTGTGCACGTTGACCCCCGACGACGACAGCTACGAGGAGGACCTCTTCGCGCCGGCGGAGGTCCGCCGCTGACTGCCCTGCGACGGGGGCCGCATGGAGCCTGCCTGGCGTCCCAGCCCCATCGAGGATCGCGCAGGTGCTCGCGGCGGCGGCGGTTCGAATGGGCCTCGCCGTGGCGCTCGGCGTGGCGGCGGCGCCCAACCTCATGGGCGCGGGGGCCGGCCCTCGGCCGCGGCCTGGCGCCCGAGCTGCGGCCCCTCCGGTTGCGGCCGTGGCGATGGCGGCTGCTGGGATGGCGCCCGCGGCGGCGGCCCCCCCGGGCCTTCTGGTGGCCGAGCCGCCTGCGGCCGCGGCGGCGTGCGCGGCGCCCGGGGGCGTCGGCGGCGTGGCAGGCCTGGCTGCTGCCCTGGCGTTCCCGCTTGCGGGCGCCGCTGCGGCGGCCCCAGCCGCGGGCCGCCTCCGCCCCTCGTCGGGGCCGCCGCGGCCGCCGCGCCACCGGCCGCGGCCGCTGACCCAGCCGCGGCTGCAGCTCCCGTGGATGCGCGGACCCAGCCAGTCTCATGGGGCAGAGGCACGCCGACTTCCGCACGGCGGTCAAGGGCATGACCGAGGGGGCCTTCCCCGACTGGCCCGCGAGGGGCCCCAGGACGGCTCGATCCGTGGGTCCTCAAGTTCATGGAGGCCCACGGCGGCGCGCCGACGGGCCGCCACTCCCGGTGGATGTCGGAGACCAGGCTGCAGGGCCATGAGCTTGGAGTCGACGAGCATGAGAGGGCTCGCCGCGCTCTGGAGCGCATGGTGGTGCGTGATCAGTTGAACGTGGCTAACCTAGCCTCAGAGGAGATGCTGGCCAGGACGGTGCAGTTGCAGGAGAAGCGCTACCGCGATCGATTGGCGCCGGCAGTGGACTCCTCGAGCATGGGATCGCATCTGCTGCTCGGCTCGGGCCAGCTGCGCGGCAACGCGCGTGCGTCGCCGCCCTTGCAAGACCACTGCCGGGACGAGCTGGCCAAGACGAACGCCTGCAGGTTGGAGCAGCGCAGAGCCAGAGAGGAGCGCGACTTGGCCCACCAGACAGAGAAGGGGCCGAAGGGCGACAAGACGTCTTGCAAGGATGACAAGTGACCTCGGAGCGGGGGGTGGGGATGGGCCCCCACCCCCGCCAACCTGCCCGCAGGCCGAACTACCCTCTCTCGTCATCACCAGGGTGCTCAAGAACGGCGGCGGGACCTGTTTCCTCTTCCTTATCTGGGTGCTCGCGGCGATGACTTTAGTTTTGCGCGCGGCCGTCGCAGCCGGCATCGTGCGCGCGGCGCATCGTCGCGGCGAGACTGGGCGAACGACGCAGCGGGCGCCGCGATGGGCTTCTCGTGGGCACTCCACCTCTGCCAGCTGGCCCTGTGCTCCGCCGTCGCGCGTGCGCGCGTGCCGGGGCACCTCGTCATCGAGGGCGGACGTTCTGGCGTCGTTCTGTAGCCTGGCGGCCGCGCCGCCGTCGCCGGCCACGTCGACGGGCACTTGGCGGTCAGTGGCGACAGGCCTGCTCCAGCGATGCCTTGGGCCGCGTCGCGGCGGAGCTGGAGGGCGCGGGGCTGCGCGCGCATGCGCCCGCGCGGGCGGCCGACTTCTGCAGTTTTCTGGGGATGGAGCTGCGGCGCGGGCGCTGGCTCGCCATCAAGGGGGCGCGCCGCGTGGCGGCTGCGGTTCGCCATCGAGGAGCTGCTGCGGCGCGGTCGCGCCTCGGGCCACCTGATCCGCGCGGTGGTCGGCCACGTGGCCTGGGCATCGACGGTCAAGCGTGAGGCGCTCGGGCGGTTCGCGCCCCCTATGGCCTCCATGGTCTCGGCCGGCGCGGGGGCGCAGTCGCTGTGGCCGGCAGTCCGCGCGGAGTTGCGACGCGCCTGCTGCCCGCCGCCCTTGCTCGTCGCGGACCTGGCGGCCCCCTGGGCTTCGAGGCTGGTCGCCAGTGACGCCGGCGAAGAGGGCCTCGGGGTCTGTCGCCGGCAGGCCCCTAGCGGCCTCATCGCGCAGCGCGGGCGGCTGCGCGAATGGCGGCGGCGCCGAGTCGAGGGGGGGGGCGCGCGAGGGGCGGGGCTCTCCTCCCCCCGCCTGCTCGCGTTCGTCCCAGCCCTTGTCATGCCGCGTCCCACGCCGGCGAGAAGGCCCTTGTCATGCCACGGCTTCGCCGGGCACGCCGGGCAAGGGCCCGGGCCTTAGCAAGACCGCGCAGGGGCCCATCGAGATCTCCCAGAACGCGCCGGAGGACATCAGGGACTCCGACTGGGTCTCCACATTGGGCCCCGCGGGCTCGCCCAAGGTCTCCGTGAACCCTGGTATCGAGGACGCTTGGGAGGACCCCATTTATTGTGAAGTTGGGCGACAGGCCCCAGGATTTCGACGAGGGCCCTGCTGGGCTGCTGGGCGCAAAGTCCTGGAGAGGCGCGGCTGCTACCTGGGTCTAGAGAGCCAGAGTATCTCGGGCCTGGAAGCTGACGCTCTCGTGGTAGCGCACAAGCACCTCTTGAGATCATCGGCGTGTCGTGGCAAGCGCGTTCTGGCCCTCGTCGGCGACATGTCGCTGCGTCTAGCCGTGGCGAAGGGTAGAGCCGACTCGTCATATTTGCAGCTGCCGTTTCTGGAGAGATGCACGATATCACTTGCAACGGGAACCAGATTGCACTGTCGGTAGATTCCATCCGAGCGAAACCCCGCCGACGTTCTGTCTCGAGGGCGACGCACTTGGTTTTCGGATTCTGCCGATCGCCTTCGTTCCCAGCAGCAGGCCGCCCGGCGCGGCGGCGCGGCGGCGCCCCGCGGGGGCGGCCCGGCCGCCGCAGCCGGTCCTCCGGCGGCCCGCGCGGCGCCCGGCGCTGGCGGCCACCGAGGCGCGCGAGCGCCGAGCGGCTTTGGCCAGCCGCCCGCTGACCGAGCGGCCGCCGATGGGGCAGCTGAGTGCGCTGGAGACCTTGGCCGCGAGGTCCAGCGCGGAGTCGCGGCGCCGCGGGGTCTTGCAGGAGTTTGCAGAGTATTGCTCGCGGAGCCACTTTGACTGGACTTCAGGCTTCAGGGAGCTGGATGCCGTCGCGACCAGCTTTTTGAACCACCAGTGCGATCGGTGGGCCCTTTCGAGCCAGGGCTCGCTGCGGCTGGCGGCGCTTGCGCACTTCCTGCCGGGCCTCCAGGGCTGGCGGAGGGCTCAGCTGCCGCGGGCCACGAGGAGCCCAATTGCATGGCAGCGGCGGGTGCCCGCCATGACGAGGGTGCCGCTGCCGTGCTACGCGGCCGTCGCGCTGGCTGGGCTGCGTGCGCCTGAGGCCGTTCGAGGCTCAGCGGCTTCGCGGCGTCTCCCTGGTGCGCCCTGTGACGCAGGCGGCCTCCTCGGCGGGGAGCTGGGCCCTGCTGCTGCACCCCGCCAGCGGGGTCGACCAGGCAAGACCGGCTTGTGCAACGAGGGTGTGGTGATCGACCTCGACCAGCACCTCTGGCCGCTGCTCGCTGGCCTGAAGGGCGCCGTGGGCCTCGACCAGAGCCTCTGGGACTTCGCTCCCCCGGCCCTGCGCGAGCTGTTCAAGGTGCGCGCCGACCTGCTTCAGCTGCATGCCCTGAGCCCGACGCTGCGCGCGCTGCGGCGCGGCGGAGAAGGTTGGGACCTCCTCGAGGTCCGCAGGGCGCTGGTGCAGACGCAGCGGCGCAGCCGCTGGACGTCGCCGGCCAGCATGGAGCGGTATGCGAAGGAGCGCCATGACGTGGGTGCCGGGCTGGGTCTTCGTCTTCGGCTGGATCGTGCACGCCCAATTGCGCGAGGTTGTCGAGCTGGGGCCCAACGCGGCGCGGCGCCCGCGCCTGCGGCAGTTGCCGCCGCGCCCGTGCAGGCGCCGATCGCAGCCAGTCTGCCGTGGCCTCGCCAGCCCGGGTCAGGCGTCACCTCCGAGCTCTGCTCGCCCAGCAGCTGCAGGCTGCGCGGCATCGGAGGTCCAGCGCGTTTCTGGAATCCCTTGCTGGTTGGGAGAGATGGCCAAGGCCTCGAGGGCCTCGGTTGTTCGCCGCCCTCTCCCTGGATGTCTTGAATGGGCCTTTGGAGGACCATCTGGGCCGCGCGTTTGCGAAGCTCGTCTTGGGATGGCTCAAAGCTGGCATCACCCTGGGCATTTTTTGAGGGCACCGTGTACCACTTGGACCCGGGCCCTCAGGAAGCCGCTCTGCGATTCGTCATGGCCCATGGGAATGCCCAATCTGAATGAGTCCGAACGTGCACGTCCTAAGATCGGGAATGCGACGTTCCATTTCAACTGCGGAGCACCCCCCCTGCGCCGTGCCCCGGGGGCCCCCGCCCCCTTGGAGAACCCCCGGACTTCGATCTTGTGGTCCGCCCCTCGGTTTGTGAAGCTTGCCTCCGGTGCCGGTTCCTGCTTCAGCGCGCGCCGCCTCTGTCAGTGCGGGACCCGGTGGCGGGCGCCCGCCTCCAAGGGAAGGACGCGCCAAGTCTGGCCCCCCTCAGTTGCAAGCGTTCTAGTAAGATGGGATCTGCTTTCGTGCCAAGCTGCCGCGCATTGAATTGTCCGGCGCCGCCCCAGGGGGCCGCAAGTGGACCAGTCTCGCGGCCGAGTGCCCCCCCTCGGTTCGCCGCCGCCGCCGCCGACGTCTTCTTTCACTCGTCGGAGCAGGTGCGCGGGCTAAGGCTAGCCGAAATGATGTGTGGGTAGTTTTTATAGTCGTTTTGGAAGCCCCGTGGGGCTCCGGCTTCAGCAGCCGGGCGACCCGTTTGGGGAATGGGCAATGCGGTCTCGTCTCTGGCTCGCTCGATGTCCGTGTTGAGCGACCCTGGTCTCAGATATCCGTGCCTCTTGAACGCGCGCTTGGGAAACTGCTTCTAGCAGCTTTCGCTGCATGGCCGCCGCCGCAGGAGCTTCTGCACACGATGGAAGATTTAAAATCGCGAAGCGGGGGGGGGCGGGCAGCCGGCCGCGCCGTGGGTTGCGCAACCGCGGCCGATGTGCTCAAGCTCCGACCCTCCCCCGCATCCTTTCGTCCTCTCTCACTCTGTGCAATTTTGTTGCGGGTAATGTGATCTCGTCTCTGGCTCGCCCGATGTCCGTGCTGATTTACTCTGGTCTCAGATACCCATGCCCCTTGTGCGCGCGCATTCGGAAAACTGTATCTAGCAGTTTTCGCCGCATGGCCGCCGTGGGAGCGTCCGTCCTTGCTATATACATACATGTGTATGTATGTATACATGTGTATGGATATGAAAGAGAGAGAGAGAGAGAGAGAGAGAAACAACAACAACAACAACAACAACAACAACAAAAACAACAACAACAACAACAACAACAACAACAACAACAACAACAACAACAACAACAGCAACAACAACAACAACAACAACAACAACAACACCAACAACAACAAAACAACAAAAAACAATAACAATAACAACAACAACACCAACAACAACAACATCTAACATCAACATCAACAACAACAACAACAGAGAAACAGAGAGGGGCGGTTGCAGGCGAATGTGCCACCTCGGTCTCCGAATCACGCAAAAACCCATGGTTTTGAGACCACCCGCGGGGGCCGAACGAACCCGAATGAACCGCGAATGAACCCCCGAATGTACCAGAATGTGCTCCCGACGGAATGCCCCAACGCCCCAGACGGACGCCGACTTAACCACCCAGACGTCGTCCTCGTTAGTCGGCCGTCGCCCGGGTTTGCCGTTCTTGCTCATCGTCGTTCGTCGGTCGTCGTCTTGAGGCAATCTGACGGTCGCCGTCGTCGTTAAAATTTCACGACCAACAATCGTCACCTGACTGGCCAGCCAGGGAATTCATTTATTAGTGATAATGTTGACGAGGTGTGCCCGTGTCATAATTTTAGATAGGTCTTTGGTGGAGGCGTGGCTCGCTCTAGTTGCCTGCTTATGCGAGAACAGGTCAATCACCCGACCGACCAGCCGACCGAACGACCGACGGCGACGACCGACGAATGAACGATGGCGACGACGACCGACCAACCGACCGAACGAATGACCGAGCGACCCAGCGGCCGAGTGACCGAGCGACAGGCGAGGACGATGCCCACGATCGACGACGACCGACCGAGCGACCGAGCGAGCAAACGATAGACGACGACAACGACGACGACCGACCGACTCGCCGACACGGCGATCGACGACGACGACGACGACGACGTCGGCCGAGTGCGACGACCGACAACGGACAACGATGACGGCATCGACCACCTACCCCGACGGGCCGACCGACCGGCCGCACGACCGACCAGCCGACCGACGGCGACGACCGACGAATGACAACGACGGCGACGACGATCGACAGACCGACCGAACGAACCACCGAGCGACCTAGCGGCCGAGCGACCGAGCGACTGACGACGACGTCGACGACGACGACTAACACGACCACGAACGACGACAACGACGACTGAGCGAGCGAGGGAGCGATCGACGACGTCGACGATGACCGACCGACCGTCTGGCCGACCGAGCGACTGGCCGACCGAGCGATCGACGACGACGACGACGACGTCGACCGACGGCGACGACCGACAACAAACAACGATGACGGCAACGACCACCGACCGACGGACCAACCGACCGACCAACCAACGACGATGACGACGACCGACGGCGACGACCGACGGCGACGACCGACGGTCGACGACCGACGGTCGACGACGACAGACAGACCGACCAGCGCCGAGCGACGACGACGACGACGAAGACAACGACGGACGGATCGACGACGACGCCGACGACGACGACGACGACCGACGACACCGACGGAATACGCCGTCGTGAAGTTCCAGAAACCCAAAGTTGACAGGCTGACCGCAAACGACCGAGGTCAACTTATAGAAAGCGTGGGCCTGGCAATGTTCTAGAAGGGAGCGCTTCGAGGACGTGGCCCCCGCTTCCCCCTCTCCACGCCACCCCCAGGGACGGACCCCCAGGCGGTTGCAGGCGAATGTGTCACCTCGGGTTCCGAATCTTGTAAAACCTTGTGTTTCTGAGACCACGCGCTGGGCAGAAAGAACCCGAAGGAACCCGAGTGAACCGAGAATGAACCCCCGAATGCACCAGAATGTACCTTCGACTGAACTCTCCCTAGCGCCCCAGACGGACCCCGACCTAACCACCAAGACGTCGTCCTCGTTGTTAGTGACTCGTCGCCGTCGTTTGCCGTTGTCGCTGATCGTCGTTCGTCGGTCGTCGTCCTGAGTCGGTCCGACGGTCTTATTCGCCGTCGTCGTCCTCGGCGTCCTCGTCGTCATGAAGACTTCCCTACCAACAATAGTCACCTGACAGTAACCTCAGGGGCGAAAATTGGGGACTGGCTCTGGGGAAACCTCGACCCCAAGTCGCATATTCATCGCTTATAGGGCGTGGTTGCCCCACCACCGTGTCGGCGATAAATCGTCGATGTATCGTCGACACCGGGTTCAGGGTTACCCCCCGCTTCCTGCCTGCACTTTGTACCATGAAGTGCTTTATTCGGCTACCGAAGTGGATGCGTGGACTCCTCGACCACCAGACAACTTGCGAGCCAACCCCCTGCCCCCGCTCGTCGTTGCAAGGCCAAGGGCATGAAGGTGGAGGACGTGTTCGACGTCATGAACATGGAGGCCGAGCCCATTAGGGGTAACATATCAAGACCTCCAGGCGTCGCGAAGCGGAGCATGGTAAGACATAGTTTCTTGGTTGGCACTTCAGGGGCAGTTTCTGGAACCCGAGTCGATGAAACACAATTCACGCGACGGAAACAATTATCCAGGTTGGGGTTGGGATCGAGAGTTCGGGAGGCCCGGCCCGCGCAGGGACATTCACGACGTCGGAGGTTTGCGTCGTAATCAAGGGCCGCAATCGCCTCCAAACACGCACTGCCGTCCCCCCCCTCCATGTACAAGAAGGAGCAGATGGGAGGTGGGATAGAGGCAAGTGGGAGGAGGGGGAGGAGGAGGAGGAGGAGGAGGAGGAGGAGGAGGAGGAGGAGGAGTCAAGCCGCCGTGGTATTTGATCTTTTGGGATGCTCGACGTCGGTCGAGGGTCTCGAGAAGGTGCTGTTTCTTTCGAAGTGTCAATCCAGAAGTGTGGTCGATCAAAACAATGGTGCGCAGCACTGCAGTTGCTCCGCGAAGGGATTCAATTAGGTGTGTAACTCTTCCTGGGCCACATTGTGACTGCCAGCGCATGCAGAAAAGGCGGGCAATGGCAGCACGCACCGTCGGTTCTTAGTGCGGTGCGGGAGTTGAAGGTTGAGCCCGACGTCATCTGTACTACAAGTTTGGGCGAAGCGCGGACGAACGGGGCGAGCAGCGCCAGATCCTCGAGCGCCTCCGGGCTCCCCACGCCGGCTCCAGCAGGTCCCCCCGGCCCCACATGTCCCACGGGCCCCACAGGTCCCGCAGGTCGTAAAGACCGCTCATGTCCACAGGTCACGCAGGTCTCACAAATCCCACAGGTTTCACGGGTCCCCCTTGTCTCACAGGTCCCACGGGTCCCACAGGTCAAAGAGGTCGCACATGTCCCACGGGCCCCAAAGGGCTCACACGCTCCACAGTGCCCACTTGCACCACAAGTCCCACAGGTCCCACCACATGCCCACATGTCCCACGGATCGCACAGGTCCCAGAGGTCCCACACGTCTCACATGTCCCACAGGCCACACGGGTCCCACAGGTCCGTTGCTGCTATTAGGGTGTTTTGCTGGTGTAATCAGGACTCCGGCAGAGGGACGCTAATCCGCGCTGCCTCATTTTTGAGACGGTGGCCTCCAATACCTATTCACCGAGCGCGTTCCGATACTCGCAAAGTGCCTACTCGCAAACGTCCGAAACAAAACAGTCTACCTATATAATTTTGGATCGTAAATCCCCCGCGGCGGATCCAGACCATTTACGAGTAGCTATTTTGCGAGTAGTGGAGTGCGCTTGTCTAAACATGGGTCCAATCGAGCCCGAAGAGGGCCCCAAGAGCGACCCACGTGCCTCCAACATGGCTCCAATATAAGCTACCACGAGGCTACCACATCGAAAGATCCGCGAAGGCATTTGTGGTTGTCTCCTGGGTCTGCTTGGGCTGATCCTGAGCTTTGGTTTGACGTCTGCCCCCCCTATTTACCCACTTGGTTGTTCATACACTTCTTTGTCCAAGGCAACTTGCCTGGGCATCGTTTCTGGATGGGCTAGTGGGGATACTTTCTTAGTCAGCGGCCGCAGGTGAAGACGCCGACGGCGAGCCCAGTCAGAGCGGGGCGCGCAAAGACGAATTAACCTAAAGCCGATGGGCCGAAGCCTCACTCGGCACCGGGCTAGTGGGTATACTTTTCCCCGGAAAGGGCATCGGCCCAGGGTTCTCTTTTAGTAGGTAAACCTGTCCCCCGGTGCCAACTTGAGGGAGGCCGGCGAATTTTTTCCCTGATAAATAACGAGGTCGAAGGAGGCCGGCGAATTAAAATTTGAGGATGTCTCGAGCGAAACGCTTGTTTTTGAAATCCCGATCGATAAATCACAGGGTGCGGGCCACTTTTTCGTGTGTTGAGGATGTCTCGAGCGAAACGCTTGCTCCGCAGAGTTTGCCGAGGATGTCTCGAGCGAAACGCTTGTTTTGCAGAGCCGACCGCGACGCGGAAAAGCGCCCCGCGCGAAGGAATTTCGATGATGTCTCGACTAATTCCTTTGTTTTTCCCGGAAAGGGCATCGGCCCAGGGTTCTCTTTTAGTAGGTAAACCTGTCCCCCGGTGCCTGCTTGAGGGAGGCCGGCGAATTTTTTCCCTGATAAATAACGAGGTCGAAGGAGGCCGGCGAATTAAAATTTGAGGATGTCTCGAGCGAAACGCTTGTTTTTCCCGGAAAGGGCGTGGGCCCAGGGTTCTCTTTTAGTGGTAAACCTGTCCCCCGGTGCCTGCTTGAGGGAGGCCGGCGAATTTTTTCCCTGATAAATAACGAGGTCGAAGGAGGCCGGCGAATTAAAATTTGAGGATGTCTCGAGCGAAACGCTTGTTTTTGAAATCCCGATCGATAAATCACAGGGTGCGGGCCACTTTTTCGTGTGTTGAGGATGTCTCGAGCGAAACGCTTGCTCCGCAGAGTTTGCCGAGGATGTCTCGAGCGAAACGCTTGTTTTGCAGAGCCGACCGCGACGCGGAAAAGCGCCCCGCGCGAAGGAATTTCGATGATGTCTCGACTAATTCCTTTGTTTTTGTACGATTTCCTGGAATTTTGGCAGGATGTCTCGAGCGAAATGCACGACCCCACCCTAGCACGACCATACCCCAGCACGACCACACCCCAGCACGACCAGACCCCAGCACGACCCCACCCCAGCACGACCCCACCCCAGCACGACCATACCCCAGCACGACCACACCCCAGCACGACCCGACCCCAGCACGACCCTACCCCAGCAAGACCACACCCCAGCACGACCACACCCCAGCACGACCTCACCACAGCACGACCACACCCCAGCACGACCACGCCCCAGCACGACCACAGCACCACGCCCCAGCACGACCACCCCCAGCACGACCACCCCCAGCACGACCACCCCCCAGCACGACCACCCCCCAGCACGACACCCCCAGCACGACCACACCCAGCAGACCACACCGCCCCAGCACGACCACACCCCAGCACGACCCACCCCAGCACGACCACACCCCAGCACGACCACACCCCAGCACGCACGCCCCAGCACGACCACACCCCAGCACGACCACACCCCAGCACGACCACACCCCAGCACGACCACACCCCAACACGACCACACCCCACCACGATCACACCCCACACGACCACACCCCAGCACGACCCGAATCACACCACGACACACCCCAGCACGACCCCACCCCAGCACGACCCCACCCCAGCACGACCACACCCCAGCACGACCACACCCCAGCACGACCCCACCCCAGCACGCACCCCAGCACGACCCCACCCCAGCAAGACCACACCCCAGCACGACCCACCCCAGCACGACCCCACAGCACGACCACACCCCAGCACGACCACGCCCCAGCACGACCACGCCCCAGCACCACGCCCCAGCACGACCACGCCCCAGCACGACCACGCCCCCAGCACGACCACGCCCAGCACGCACAACCACCCCCCAGCACGACCACCCCCCCAGCACGACCACACCCCAGCACGACCACCCCCCAGCACGACCACACCCCAGCACGACCACTCCCCAGCACGACCACACCGCCTTGGTTGAGTGGTTGCCTGTCGTCGTGGAATGTTTCGTGGGGTGTCTCGTGGAATGTTTCGCGGGGTGTCTCCTGGAATGTTTCGTGAGGTGTCTCGCGGAATGTTTCGTGAGGTGTCTCGTGGGATGTTTCGTGAGGTGTCTCGTGGGATGTTTCGTGAGGTGTTGCCCCGTTGGGTATCGTGAAAACGTGCCCATGCTCCACATGTCTATATCCCTTTCCGGGTTCGTGGGTCCATCATGTTAGTCAGCGGCCGCAGGCGAGCGCGCCAGCGGCGAGTCCAGTCAAAGCAGGGCACGCAGCGACAAATTCACCTAAAGCAACGGGGCGCAGCCTCATCTAAAGCGGCTAGGCGGAGCCTCACGCAGCACCTCAGCGGCGGACCAGCGAGTGGAGGGGGCAGGCTGAAACTGAGTAGTACTGCCAGCGTGCAGGTATGCAAGGCGTCGGAAGCGTCAGGTAGTCGGGAAGAACGACGACCAGGGGCAGAAGCCGAGTAATTAATGCAAGGGCGCACGACCCCGGACAACTGCGAGAGTACTAACTAGTGGGGATACTTTTTTGGTCAGCGGCTCCGAGGCAACGGACAGGGAGCGGAAGCGGCGTCCGGGTCACGGTGCGGGGCTAATTTGCAAGACAATTCGCCGCCAGCCAGAGTCGGAATTAGTGGGAATACGCGAAGCGTCAAGAGATCTGGGAGAAGGAAAGTAGACGTGGACAGCCGTTTCTCCTCGAGGACGGACCGCGCGGCAAGCTCTTCAGCGCGCTCCAGGAGAGCGACCTGATGGACCGCCGCTGCCCCGCGGGGGGCGGATCTCGCGGCGCGCGCGCGATGCCCCGCCTCGGGCCCGCCTCTCCTCGGCTCGCCTCTGACCGCGAGCCACGCGTTCGATCGCTCGGCGAGTGATACGGGCCGGACCAACCTTCCCGATCGGCTGTGCATCGTGAGGTGATAGGTGGTCCTTTCGCCCGCGGGCCCTGGCTTCGTCTCAGCCCGCCTTCGCCCGGAGGGGCAGCGGCGTGGGAAGGATGGTGAAGAGGGAGGGCGGGGGTGGATGAAGGCAGCGGGTCTCGGACGATTCTCGTAGTCCTTGGGCCGCCTGAGGGGGGGGCTCTTCGCCAACGACCAGATCCGCGTCTTGAGAGAACGAGTTCCGTAGATCTTTACCTGTGTAGGGAGAGGTTAACCGCTGTGTCAGCCTCTCCGAACCCACTCCTGAATCACATCTATACTGCGATATTGCAGCCCACAGTTCTGGCTGTATGGATCGACCGTGGCTGATCCTGCGCTGCTGCCACGGTCAAGTGAGTCAAGCTCGAGGGCGATGTGCAACGCTTACGCCGCTCGGTGTTTTTACTTGGCGCCGCTCGCACTGCAGGCCACCGCCCCGTTTCTTATTGAATTGTTGTGTCGCGGGATGGGACCTGTGTAGGCCATCTCGTAGGGTCGGTCGTATGCCTTCACGCGTACGACCATTCCACTTTGTCGTTGACTTCTGCCTGTCTCCCCCCTCCCCGCCCAGGGCTCGCTCCCCATTGGTCACAGCTTTCGACTGGTTGCAGACTGCAGACGACATGGTGCGTGTGATTTCCCCAAAATTGTGCTTGCAATCAGGGAATCTTACTTGGTTTGATAGGTGGTTGGGTTGGTCTGCCGAGGCTTCGCCTGGCTCCCGGTTTGCGGCCGCCCGTGGGGGCCGCGTGGGCGCCCAATGCGTTGGGTGGATATGCCAGGGTTTCGCCTGGTGCCCGCCCGTGGGCGCCCCGTCCGCTGGTTGGGTCTGCCACGACGTCCGTGGGCGCCCTCGTGGGCGCCCCGTGTGCTGGGTGGGTCTGCCGGGGATTTGCTCGGTGCCCGCCCGCGGTTGCCGGTGGGCGCCTTCGCGGGCGCTCCGTGGGCGCCCGCCCGTGGGCGCCGCGCGGGCGCCTGCAGGGCTTGCACCACAGGTTGCACCGCATAAGTTGAACCACATCGCTTGCAACGCCGATGTTGCGCCACACGGCTCTCAATTCTGCCCTACCTCACGCGCACCACGTAGCGTGCACCATATCGATTGCATCGATCTCGGACCACATGGCGTGCGCGACATGTATTCTACCACACAGCTTGCATCACACCGCCTGCGTCACGTAGCTTTCGTTACATAGCCTGCAATCTATCTCATTACATCGCATGGCATATCTTTCATCGAGTGAGCAGCAGCCTGCGCTTTTTTCCACGCTGGTTGACAACCTGTACACACCTACTGCTGCATATGTGATGCATGCTTGCTCTGTACATGTGCGTAGAATGGCATGCTATACCGATATACACATGTCACATGTCCATATCCATGCCAATACAGATGTGTTAACACCTAATGCAAACATTGGTCGTAGGCCCTAGATGGTCCTGGCCAGGACTGGTGCTGGTATATACCTGATGCGTGCTGGCGCTCTCATATGTCCTGCCGGCCTTGGCTCTTCGAGGACGTCGCCCGGGCGTGCAACCGTTTCCCGTGCATCTCCCTCGAGTACAAGGCGGCTGGGGCGGCGCCCAGCGTCGCAGCGGCCTCCTTGCCGCGATCCCCACCCCGCCGCCTGCGTTCGCCGCACGGTTTTCTGCGCTTTGCGCCCCTCCCGCTCGCCCAGCGAGACCGCGACTCGATGGCGCAAAGATTCCGCGCTTCGCGCAGCGCGAGGCGTGAAGTTGTGTCACCCAGGAATGCTGGGCTACTGGAGGACAAGCGGTCTTGCCCCAGGGCCCTTTCCATTTCCGTTGTCAATTTCGCGGGGAGAGGGGGCGTGCCAATCGTCCCCCCGCTCGACGTCTTGCGCTTTAGACAGGGCGTGCCATTCGGCATTCCCTACTTTCGCCAGTCCGACTGGCCAGAAGTGTCTTCAGCTCATCTTCTTCCCGCAGCGGTATGCTTCGTGGCTGCCTGGAGCGAAGTTTTCCTAGCACCCACGCTTAGCCGCCACTCGTGCTGGGTTTCGTTTTGGGCAATGCTTGTCGCTTTGTTCTGAATTGCTGGCGGCTGTCACCGTGGAGTATCAGGCCTGATGGCGGTTTGAGAGCTAAGGCGCAGTGGGTTGGGTCACATTGTTCGCGGATTTTAGGGTTGTGGAGGTCAGTGATCTTCCAGAGGGCGCATATTCGGGCACCCGCTCTTGTTCGTGAGAACAGCTGCCATGTCGCCTCAACGGGGATCCAAGCATGGTCCCGTAGCCGATTGGCCAACCTCCAGCTTCTAGGCGGTTCGTGCACCAGGCCTTTCCAAGGCTCGTCTCGTAGGTGTCTCAATCATGCGACCTGAGCCATAACGCTCCATTCAGTCTTATCACAGTAACTGTGCCGCCCGAGACAAGGTGTGTGCACCACTCGGCCAGTCAGCACTTTGGCAAGTTGCTTTTGCAGCATTGCTTCTCACGCCAATCTTTCCTCGTTGATTTTGGAACGGGTCCTACTCCAGAAGTTTACGCCGTTCCGGCGACCCCCAGAAGAGGAGAAACGTACACGGCGCGCCCAACGAAACGTCGCCATTTTGGTATGGTGGTGTTCAACGCGGTGGCGATCCACGCATGCACACATAAGACGTCGCCTCACTGGGTGATACCAAGCGTGAATGTTCGCCACTCTGATCCGCCCGTGGGGCCTGATGTGGTGGGGTGGGGATCTCGTGGAGGCTTCGGGGGTAGTTACATCCTGGGAGCCTTTGAAGGCCTCCTGGGAGAGTCATGGGGCGTTCTGGGGGCTTCTTGGGGGCGTGGGGGGATTATTTGGGGCCTTCTTGGGGGGTGGCTCTCTTGTGCTGTTTCGGGACCGTCCTGGGCGCCTTTTTGGGCCCTCTCAGGCCAGCTTCGAGTGCCTCTCAGGCCGTCCTTGGTTTTCGGAAGCTGGCGAAGGCTTGGTGCGCATCGTCATCATCGTGGAGACGTCGGAGGCTGATTATGGAGGCTCCGAAGGCCCAGAAGGAGCGCCAGCTAGTTCCCAGGTCTCCCTTCTTTCTCCCCCCTCTTGAAACTGCATGTGCGACCTATGGGAATCATATCACACGCTATGTCATCCCCAGCAACGGGGGGTCGGCGGACATGTTAAAGTCGGAGGTTGGGGGGTGAGATCGCAGTGGAACGGAGACCCCCAACCGGGAAATCGCTTCGTTTCGTTCGTGTCGTGCGTGCGGGCGAGGCGAATCTGCGCGGGCGCGCGAGAGGAATGAACCCGCCGTTGCCTGGGCGAAGTCAAGACAAATGTTGCTCCCCCGTCCGTCCGTCCGTCCGTCCGTCTGGCGGTGGCCCTAGCGGTGTCCCGCGGTGTCCCGTGGTGTCCCGTGGTGTCCCGTGGTGTCCGCCGCTGCTAGGGAGAGGTCAAGACAAATGTTTCGCTCCCGTCCGTCCGTCCGTCCGGCGGTGGCTCGCGGTGTCCCGCGGTGTCCTGTGGTGACCCGTGGTGTCCCGTGGTGTCCGTCGTTGCTAGGGCGAAGTCAAGACACATGATTCTCCCCCGCCCGTCCGTCCGTCCGTCCGGCGTTGGCTCGCGGTGTCCCGCGCGGTATCCGGTGGTGTCCCGTGGTGGCTCAAAAAGTGAGATCGAATGTGAACTCGATACTGAAATCGATAGTGAGATCGAGACTGAGATTGATGTGGTGCCCTGAGGTGTCCCGAGGTGTCCCAAAAAGTGAGATCGATAGTGAGATTGACTGGTGTCCCGTGTTGTCCCGTGGTGTCCCGTGGTGTCCCGTTCAGTGAGATCAATCGTGAAATCGATAGTGAGATCGATATTGAGATCGATGTGGTGCTCCGAGGTGTCCCGTGGTGTCCCAAAAAGTGAGATCGATAGTGCGATCGACAGGTGTCCCGTGGTGTCCCGTTGAGTGAGCTCGATAGTGAGATCGATAGTGAGATCGATGCGGTGTCCCGTGGTGTCCCGTGGTGTCCCATGGTGTCCCGTTGAGTGAGGTCGATAGTGAGACCGATAGTGAGATCGAGAGGTGTCCCGCGGTGTCCCGTGGTAGCCCATGGTGTCCCGTTGAGTGAGATTGATAGTGAGATCGACACGTGTCCCGTGGTGTCCCGTGGTGTCTCGTTGAGTGAGATCGATAGTGAGATCGATTCAGTCAGATGTTGGTTACACCCCCCCTCTTCCCCCCCACAACCTCCTTAACTTAGAACCAGAAGGGTGGTCGTATAGGTATCGAATTGTGACTATGGGTTTCAGTTGCTCAGGGTTGATGGACAGGGGGAAGAGAGCGGCTAGGGGCAGCGAGGTAGGCTTGGTCCTGGGGGCGGTATTTCGCCTGTCTTCTCGCGCCTGCCTTTGCACCCAATCGCCGCCCGGGCAGATACAGAATTCCGACGCCTTGAACACTGGCGGCAGCGCTCGCATCGTCGTGCGTCTCGGGCGCGATGGCATGGACGAGGACACTGCGCTGGGCCCAGTCTTTGCGCCGTACTATCCGAGGGAGAAGGAGGAGAGTTGGTGGCTCGTGGTCGGTGGCCCCAACAGCGCCTTGGTGGCGATCAAGAGGACCACTATCACCAAGGCGACCGTCAACGTCAAGCTCGACATCGAGCTCGGCGAGGAGGCGGGCACCTTCGACTACACGCTGTACCTCATGTCGGACTCCTACCAGGGCTGCGACCAGGAATACAGCTTCAAACTGAGCGTCAAGCCATGAGCTGGCGAGGCCCCCTCCCCCCCTCCCCCTCCCCCTCCCCCTCCCGGTGGCGGCGGCCGCGTGTAGAGCTGGCCGCGCGGAGCCCGGGCCCGCGCTGCCCGAGTGGCTTGCGCGGCTTCGGGGAGGGAGGCCCGACCGCCCCCGCGCGGCGAGAGCCGCGACGGAAGCGTTCTGGGCCCCGCCGCAGCGCTCCGCTGCTCGCACGTCACGGCACCAGCGGCGCGGTGGCCGTTTGGAGGGTGGGCTCGGGTCGGCGGGGGGACCGCTCCTCACGCGAACCGCTTCACCCTGGACCGCTTCGCCACCGTGAACCTTCGACCGAGGAAAGGAGGATCGGGGGAACGCCAGTCTTAGACCTCCAGCGTTCCGGAACATCGACCCGGGCAGTGTTTTCGAGTTTTGCGTTTTGCGAAGGTTTGCGACGGGGATGGGGGGCGAGAGGCTCGGGTCCCTGGTCGATCAAACGACGTCGGAGGTCTGTGGCTATGCACCGACACATATCTCCGCTGATCGGTTGTTCTTGGGTTCTGGGGTTCGTGGGCATGGACCTTGCCAGGATCGGCGTCGGTGCATTAGGGGCTGCGCAGGTTCGTCATTCGTGCCGTCTGGGCGACGGCTTCTGGGGATCCCCGACAGCGGTGGCGCGGCGGCCGCAGGGAGGCGAAGGGGAGGATATTGGGGGTGCCAAGTTCGTACACGGACACCGATTCTGGGCCCACGGTTGGCGTGTACGCCTTCCTGATCGGGACAGCACGTCGTTCATTTGCACCGGTCCTGGGCCCTGGATTGGCCTGGCCAGCCTCGGTATGCTGCATCACACCAGGCGGTCTCCTCGGGGAAGCAGGAATCAGGGCAGGATTGCGGTCGCCGATGTGTCGCTTACGTGCGGTCGCCTCACGAAGTCGAACGCCATGTGTCGCTTACATACGCTCGCCGATTCCGCTGCTGCGAGCGATATGCACCCCCCCCAACAATTGTTGTTTGACCTCAACAAGTTCGCCCCTACATCCTGGGACACCTCCACGAGCGCCACGAAGACGACCGCGATGAGCCAGAACACCACCGCGAGCGCCACAACGACCGCGAGGAGCCCGAGGAACATCGAGAACAGCACGGGGGGACGTGCTGCCACGGCTTTGATGTGCCCACGTGTGCCCTGCGAGATGTCGAAGCTGTCCAAATCGTACTTGTCGAGCGGGTCGCCGTCGTCGTCGGCGAATTCCGAGGGGCTCCACGCGAAGAGACGACCAGCAGCCGAAGACGATTGAGGGCCTAGCACAGCAGGATCGCGAGGTGCAACACCGTCAACATTTCCCCCGAAGAGCAACCCTTCACCAGAGTCGTGGGGCAGATCCACTGGCGCCCACGCGGCATAGAAGGAAGAGGCAGGCTGGGCAGCAGGGCCGCCCTTCTCCACGGACGGCGCCTGCTCGCCGACCGCGTGGCCAGCGCCGAGCACCGAGACAAGCGCCTTTCCCTGGGCGTCGCCATCCGCGCCAAGCGCTGCACGAACGGCTGGGCGACTCGGCCAGGGCGCCCCCGCACCCAAAGCGCTCGCTGCTCCTCGACCTCCATGTAATTGCTCGTCGGCGAAGGCTCCTCAGGGACGATGGGGTCGCACAGCTTAGCGTCGGACCTCTCCACGTAGATTGCCTCACCCTCAGAGCCGTCCGCCGCGAGGGGGTGGGACCCCACGGCGGGTTGCTGGCAGCACTGCTCCTCCAGCTCCTCGAAGTCAGCAGAAACCACATCCACGATGACCACCTCGGGCGCCTCGGGCAGCACACTCCAGACACCAGGCACGAACTCCGCCGCCGACGCCGAGAAACAGAAGGTGCCAAGGGGAGAAGCGTCGCGCCGTGCCTCGAGTCGAGGCCCACTCTGGGCATGGCGGAGCGTGGCAGCGTCCGCCGCTGCCACGTCGATCCCCTCTGCATATGCATGTAGGGCGACGTTCCTCCGTAACTTCTCCGACCAAGTGGGCACCTCGCCACGCAGCATCGCCAGGAGGGCAGGCATCAGGGCCCGCACCCGCTGCGCCAGCTCCGCGTCGCCGACGAGAATCTCCAGGGCCGTATCTGCCGTCGCCAGCTGAACGCGGACGGCCTTGAGCTCTCCAAGGCTCCTGGCCACGGCACGATCGGCAGACCAGCGCGCCCAGGCACGCGAGGCTCGGCGAGCTTCGGCCGAGCGCTCTGGGCGGAGAAAGGCTCCGCCCTCCCGCGCCTCAAACCCGGACCACCTCCAGCAGCGCACACCGGTCGCACATGACGAGCCAGCTTGAGCCTCGGGGGGTGCGCTTGCGCGGCTTGAGCCAAAATGGCTACGGAGAACCCCCCCACAAGTTACGGCTAGACTCTCAGACCGCCTTCGTTTAGAAACCGGAGCATCGACGGCGAGGACGGCGAGTGTGATAAGGGTGCGGGGTGTTAAGGCGAGTGTGATAAAGGTGAACGGTAGGACAAACAAAACTACACGAGAACTTGTGCTGTGACATGTATCCGAAGTGCGGCCTCTCTCGTGCCGTATGCACAGGATTTGTGCTGTTCTGCGCATTCCTCTCACCGTTATTTGTTTCCTGGGATCCCATCTATTGGTTGTAGTCAAGGATTCTTACGTTAGCTCTAAGGAGCTGGTCAAAAACGGAACATCCCTCAAATATGTGTTTTCAAGGCCGACCCCATTCGACAGGAGGCACCCGAGGAGCGCCAAAGATGTCCCAAGCGATCATCAGGAGACCCCCGCCAAAAACCGACGATACCCCACCCCCGGAACAAACACTTCAAAAGCCTTCCAAGAAGGTCCCCCACAGGCATCCAAAAAGACTCCCAGCATGGTTTTGCCAAGCTGTTAGGGGCTCTCTGGCGTCTGCCCTTCGGCTGCCCTGGGCCCTCCACGTCGTGCGTGGCTGCCTTGCGCGCCTCCCTGGGCGTCTTCCAGCAACCAGTTGGGGGGAATCGCCCTGCACGCATACATGGCGCGAAGCCGTGCAGGACAACGCCTTCATTAGAAGAGTGAGCCGCGTCATCTGTCAGGTACTGTATATCCTGAAACACCTTAACGCTTCCCAGCAAGGCACATTACGGCCTAAAGGATCCCATAGGCCGCGCCCGATATGGCTTCGACTGACCTGGGCAGCCCTTAGATGGTTTGCGTTGTCCCATATTATTTGCCCCCAGGGTTTCCAAGGGACCTCCCAAACACCTCCGATCTAGTTCGAGGTGCCCTCGAGACGCCCAGGAGATCTTCAAGACAGCTGAAGACGGTCCACAGGCCTCAAGCCTCCCGAAGCCTCCCAAAAGGTCCATTCGGTCAGCTGATCAGTGTATCTGCTCAGAGCAGGAGGATCTCTTAAGACCCTGCTTATTCAACGACTCCTGAAGCGTCCATCAAGGAGTACGCTCCCAGGGTCCCAGATGGTGATCGTTGCGGGATGATGTCCATCCTCGTCCAGTCCGGTAAGTTGGCTTGGACTACGCGAGAACCTAAGCGCACGCGAAGCGCGCGTGTTTCTAGTGTGTGTGTGTATATAGATAGAGCTTGCTGGATAGTTTTCGGAATGCCAGGTTTCTCATCCAGCCTCGTCTCGACGTCCGTGCTCCTGGAATGGGCTGCCTTTGATGTCTGCCAGCCTCCCTTTCAGGATTCACGCTCGTAACTATTCTGGCTCAAGATCGCCTGGCGGCGATCGGAACGGGCGCCACGGCGAGCCACTCCCAGGTCGCAGTGTGCGCGCGATCAGCCCTCCTCGCTGGCTCGGGGGCGCTGCTCTGGAGTCAGGTGGCCTGGCACCTGGCGAGCTGGGCTGCTGGGCGCTTCGGGCCTGAGGCGGCTCGGGCGCTGACCGTCGCGGGGGCGCGGGGCGTCGCCGCGCTGGGCGAGGCCGCCCACACTGCCTCTCGCTGGGGCTGGCGCGCCCTGCAGGCGGCAGCGACCTTCGCGAGCTCTCTGCTTGCTCTCGCTTGGGAGCATCGCAGCTGGCTGGCACGGGGAGCCCGAGCCGCCTGGTCGCGTGGCCGCGCGGCGCTGGGGGCCGCCTGGGCTCTGGGCGCGCAGGCCGTCGGAGGGCTCCGTGGCTGGGGGGCGGCCCGTCGGGCCGACCGCGCACGCGCTCGCGAGCTCGCAGCCGCTTCAACCGCTCTCGAGTACGCCTTGGTGGAGATGGCGCTTGCAGGTGGCGTAGCCGTCGGGGCGGCGGACCCGTGCTGGGTGCTGCTTTCCCGCGGTGGCGAGTGGGACGAGGTCCTGATCTTCGGGCAGGTGCGGGGCGCGGACTACAGCCTCGGCTTGACGACGGACGCGACGGGGGTCGCGTTCGTCTGGGTGCTGGTGCGCCTGCTGCCGGGGCATTTTCGCGCTGTGGTCGTTCCTGGAGGGGGAGGCCTCCGCATGCCGCCGTTCGGCGTTCCTGGTGCCCAGGTCAACTGGGTGTGCGAGCCGCCGCACGCCGCGGTCCAGTGGGACCCGAGTGTGGCCGAGCTGGCCGCGCTGCGTTTGGAGGCCCAGGGCGTGGGCGCGGCCCTGCAGACCCTCGTGCTGGCGCCGGGGACGATCTTCGATGCGGGCTCGCAGGCGGCGACGATCCCCGCCTTCATGCCCGTGGGGGGCCCTCTTCCACCTGCAGGGGGCGGAGCCGTCGTGCCAGCAGCAGCGGGAGCCGCGGGAGCCGCAGCGGCGCCCCCGCCCGCGGGCGCGGTTGCGCTACCCGCCGCGGGCGCGGCGGGGCCCGCGGCTGCCGCGGGTCTGGGCTTCGGCGCCGTGGGAGCGCCCGACGGGGCGGCAGCCGCCCCCGCAGCGGGCATCGACCTGGCGTCGCTGCTTCAGGAGGTGCGCGCGATCCAGGGCCAGCTGCAGGACGGGGGCGGCTTGAGCAGCAAGCGAGAGAAGAAAGACAAGAAGTCTGCCACCAAGAAGAAGAAGAAGAAGAAGAAGAAGAGGTCCGACTCCAGCGGCTCGACAAGCTCGAGCGACAGCAGCTCCTCCAGCAGCAGCGACTACCTGCGGTGGCGCGGGCCCAAGGCCAAGAGCCGTCGGGTCGACCCCGCCCAGGAGCGCAAGCTGGAGACCGAGAAGTTCAAGGCCAAGGGCGACCTCCTGGCGTTCGCGGCGAAGCACCCGGGGGCGCTCTCGGGGTACTTCCTGGCGATGGTGCACCGCAAGCTGAGCCACGGGCGCTTGACGGAGACCAAGCAGCTGAGGCGCGCGTCGGTGACGACGTGGGCGCAGGCACACTCGGGCCTGACCGAGCTGCGGGACCAGCGCGAGGTGCAGACGTTGGCGCTCGTCATGGACCTGATCAACACGCAGGACCTGGCGACCGCGAT